TAATTTCAACACAAGTCTAATTTCAAAGTTTCTTTAGTCTCACTGCCATGACTACACCAATGTCAGGATAAGTTGAACCGTTTTGATAGCAAAATAGCCCAAACTAGAAAGCTTGCATGTGCACACAATTCAGGTATTGTAAGAAACAGGCTTGTCTTTTCCTCTTTCCATACACATGTGATGGCAGGTGCCATGTGGAAGCAGGAGTGGTGTCCGTATGTCCTCTCCCTTGTCCCTTCCTAGTTAGCTGTTCACAGAAACTGCTTCTTATTGATAAATGTTTCCATAACTGTTCTTGAAAAACTGCTGAAGAGCCCTATTGTGAGGACTTGGGGTCTACTTTGTCTCATGAGAAGGGGTTGATTTACCTGACTAATCCAAAACCCCTAAAAGGCATCTGTGAATTTTAGGTGAAAAGGTATTTCCCTCCAGTCTCAAGGTATGTTTCCAGCTTAGGCCTGCTTAGACCTGTCCTCGCTCCTTGGCCCCTGATGTTGACTTTCTTACCCTCTGCTCCACACCGCTGGTTTCTGTGCATCTCGTTTTTTCTGTACATCTCTCCTCTAGAGTGGGTCACTGGGTCTCACCTCAGGGTTCTGCATGTCATGAGGTGGCAGGTCTCAGAAAGACCAGCAAGGCGAGCCACCGCCTTGTGAATCACTTGTTTACAGATGATTGCCACTTTAGCTGATTGAATAAAGGGAACGCCTGCAATAGCATGTAATTGGTGTTGCAATAAATACCAATCGACCGCTCATTTTTATCAAATTACACCTCTGCTCTGGTCATACTCCCAAGCACCAGACACCTCGGATAAATAAAAAATTAGCATCTTGAACAATTTTAAAGTCTGAGGGTTTCAAGGGGGCTATGGGTACCTTCATTTTAGAATCATGTAACATCTCGATCCCCGTTTCTCCCTAATTCTTATCACTTGGACTATGCTGTGCAACCTTTTGCCTGGATCTTTCTTTTGCCTCCTCACACTTTTGCAGGTTCTAGCTATTTTAAATTGCATGCTATAAGAAAGCCCACCTCCTGAAATTCAGTGTGCTGTGGAATGGGGCATCCTTTAAGTTCTCTCCATAAACTTCTGTCTTGCAGATGGGGTTTCTTTACCACAAAGACTTTTTTGCTTTTGGGGGCTGATATTTTACTGCCATACACTGGAACAAAATGGGTGTGGTACCGTAGAGTGAAGAGTAGGATCCTTTATCTTTTCTTCTTCTTTACATAGATTGCACTGCAGATACTAGGCAGATCCACCACATTTTTTTCTTCTTTTGCTTTCTGCTGTCATTTCCATTATTTAAATAGCTACATTTAGACCACAGATTGCTGTAGACAAGTAGATGCAAGAATTTAGTAAGAGAATACACATTAAGTATCTGCTAAGTGACATATCCTCAGTAAACAGCTCTTACACCATCACACCCACCTCGTGTCCATCCATTCTCCATCCCACCTGCCTCTAATAATGTTTGACATCATTGGCTCATTCCAGCCAAGAGGAGCTAAAAGTCTCAAAGACATTTAAGTTTAGTGCAGATCACAGAGATCTTCTCCAAGTGTGCTTCATGGTATTGCTCAAGACCATGTGCGTGGGAGAGAAGCCCTAGGAAGGAATCTGTTTTAGGAAAGGCTTCACTTGGAGCTTTGCAGTCAGGCGTGAGAGGCATTTGTCGAACACCAGGTTGCTTAGGTCTCTGGCAGGCAAGAATGGCAAGCTAAAACGGGAGGGCCGAAGCTGTTGCTGCCTCTGGCTGTCCATCCTGGCCAAGGGCAGGAGCGATCAAAACTGATGAAAGAGCATTGGAACCACCATGGTTTTCAGCCTGGTCTTTTAAGGTAAGCTGGTGCCGACTGTGTTTTTGTGGTACCTGTGGCCATTATGAATAGGGTTTGCCTGTTTGAGTAAGCCCGTACCTGCTTGACGGATTGCTGTTGGTTTTGCTCTGGCGCTTTCAGAAACCCTCCCAGTTCAGGTTTAAAGCAGCACCAAGGCGGTCGGGGCAGCGTTACATCCCGACTCCCCGGCAGGCCCATCCTCGCCACCCTCCCGCCGGGGAGGAGGCGCTTTCCGCGCCGTGCTGTGGCCCACCGAGCGGGGCCGGGGCGGGGGGGGAAGGCGT